TAGAAATCAACTTTGACCCCTTCTCTCCCATTAATAGTACAGAATAATGTTTAAGCACACAGGCTCCAAAGAAACCAATTCCATTCACAAGAGGAAGAAAAATCAAATACTTAAGAATAATTTTAACAAAGGAAGTACAAGACATATACCAAAATGACAAAACATTGCCGAGAGAAATTAAAGGAGATCAAAATAAATGGAGAGACATTCTACATGGATTAGAAGACTCGATCAACATTTAGATGGCAATTCTTCCAAAATTGATCTAGATTCAAAACCATACCTATCAAAATCCCAGCATAGTTTTTTGGCAAAAACTGACAAGCTAATCCTAAAATTTACATAGAAAAGCAAAGGATCCAGAATAGCCACAACAATTTAAAAAAGAACAAAGTTGGAGGATGTGTACTTTCTCATTTCAAAACTTAAAACAAATATTTATATATAAAATCAAGTAATTTTTGACAGAGGTACTAAGGCAATTCAATTGAGGAAAGCATAGTCTTTTTAACACTTGGTACTGAGACCACTGGATATCCACATTTAGATTCTTACCTCACACCATATACAAAAATTAATTCAAAATGGCTCATAGACTGAAATATATAAATATATTTATATATGAAATATATATAGATATAGAGCTAAATATATAAAACTTCTGGAATAAAACAGGAGAAAATCCTTTGTGACCTTCGATACAAATACTTAAAGCATGACCCATTAAAGAAAAAACTGATAAGTTAGGTTTCATTAAAATTAAAAACATTTGCACTTCGAAAGATACCATCACAAAACTGAAAATACAAGTCAGACTAGGAGAAAATATTTGCAAATCATAAGTCTTATAAAGGACTTGTATCCAGAACATAGTAAGAACTCTTACTATGCAATAAAAAGAAAACGACCCAATCTTAAGTGAGCAAAAGATCTGAACAGACATTTCATCAAAGATATATGAATGGCCCACAAGCACATGAAAAGATGGTGAACATGACCACTCACTAAAGAGACGCAAAACTGAAGCCGCAACGAGATACCATTTCATACCCACTGGAATGGCTATCATCAAAAAATACAAAACAGCGGGTATTGGCGAGGATGTGGAGAAATCTGAACCCTCACGCATTACTACTGGTGGGAACGCAAAGTGGTGCCCACCATTTTGGAAAACAGTCTGGAAGTTTCCCAAAAGATTAATCACAAACTTACCATAAAAGCCAGCAATAGCACAGCTAGATAGATACCCACGGGAAATGAAAACATGCCCACACAAAGACTTGTACACAAATGGTCGGAGCAGCTTATGAAAACAACCCAAATGTCTATTGGCTGGTGAGTAAGTAAACAAAATGTGATCTAGCCATGCAATGGAATACTCTCTGGCAAAAAGGAAAGTACTGATGCATGCTACAACATGGACAGACCTCAAAAACAGGCTAAGTGTGAGAGAAAGATGCAAGGAAACACGTATCGTCTGGTTCTGTTTTTATGAAGTGTCCAGACAAGGCAAATCAGAAAGTGGATTAGTGATTGCCCGAGGCTGGGGGCAGGAATGGAGACGGATTGCAAATGGGCATAAGAGGTCTTCATGAGGCAATGAAAACGTTTAAAACTGGTTTATTGTAATGGTTGCACAACTCTGTAAATTCACTATAAAATCATTGAAGTGTACACTTAAATGGGTGAGCGTTACAGTGGGTAAATTATACCTGCCTAAAAATTTCAGGAGTGGGGGAAACACAGGCCCTAGACTCTGACTGCTCGGGTTCAAGTCCTGGCTCTGTTACCTACCGCTGTGCCACCAAGTCACTTCCACTTGTCTGTGCCTTAGTTTGCTCATCTGTCATCTGGGAATTATAGTATTACGTTCTTCATAGTTACTGTGTGAATTAAGTGAGTTAATATGGGTAAAATGCTTAAGCACAGTGTCAGACAGGTAGTAAGCATTCAGTAAAATTTGCTAGTTTTCTTATGATCACATTCAAACAAAGATCAAGTCTTGCCCATTTTACTTAGTGATTCGCTCTCAAGTTAATCACCTTTTCTTTGAAACTTCTTCCCTGGCCTTAAGCTCTGTACCACTTTTTAGACATAATACTTGCCGTGGTCTTCCTGACTTCCTCCAGGCTTGTTCCCTCTCATCCAGCCACCACAGCCTCTAGGCACCACAGAGGTGATGTAAACACAACCATGGCAAAACCCACCAACAGGGTCAAGTTCAATGGCATACAAGGCCCTCCAAGATCTGATCTGTGGAACACCACATGTCAAAGAAGCAAACTCCTCCACATGGACCATGTAGCTGCTTGTGCCATCCCTGTGGAGAAACGTCCCTGTCCCCTCCCCTTCCTGTCCACTCTGTGAACCCTCTCAGGTTCAGCTGAGGCACCTCCCGCACAAGCTTGCCAACCTTCTTAAGCTGTGGCCCGCGGTGCCTCCAACAATGCCCTGTGTGTCTCAATGCCGAACGAAAACACAATTATAAATCATGTCTTCTATCTTGAAGCATGAGCCTAGTGGAGTCCTGAGGACGAGTCCACTGTAGGTGCTCAGTAAAATGCCGACTGGCCGAGTGAGTGACCAGACTGTGCGGCATTTCCTCAGCTCCTCACACAGGAAAAAGGCACTTAGGCTTCCAAACAGCTTGGGCCTTATTTTTTAGCACGTCACTTGAGGAAAGTGACAAAGGTTGTCTAGGGAAATGGAGATCTTAACAAGGCTCTGGCTAGCTTGCAGAACCACCCTAAGCAGTGATGGGAGACAGAGAAGGGGCACACACCTTCTGTTCGAGGCCATTTACACTTCCCACCACCATCAACAGTTCACCAAACTGTACAGAGATTGCTGGTAATGTTAATCTTTCCAGTGAAACTTTTACTAACTTACCTGAAATCAGAGTTTCTAAACTCTGAAACTTATCTGTGAAAAATTTTTGAGATAGCTCATAGTGGGAATATAAGACAATCAACTTTAGATTTCTTTTTTTTAAGAGCTTAATTGATAGACTGGGGGGGTAGCGGGGGAGTACTATGACCTGATATGTGGGTTCCACTCCCGACATTCTGATTTAAGGGGCCTAGGGTAAGAACCAAAGAGAACATTTTGTAAAAGTTCCCCAGATAATTCTAAGGAGGAGCAAGGGTTGAGATCCACTCCTATGAAATCTAAAATTGTTCATTTCTGTGTGCTTATCTATAAAATTTATGGTTAACTAAAAATCTTTCTGGAAGTACAATTCATAAACAAATGTTAAATGGAATCCTTTCTCCCTATTCTCAATACCTTCGGTCATTGTAAAAGTAAAGTTTGACTTATTAAAACCACCTGGTCACTTAGCATTAATATCCATATTAGAAATGGACATTTAAAATACATTAAAGGACAAGTAAAACAAACACACAAAAACAGATCCCTAAACCATAATCTTAATTAACCCGCAATCAATTACTAAAATAAGGTGTGATTCTAAAAGATAATTGAGAGTACTAATACTTCCAGAAGCTGAAGCTATCGGTCCTCTGTGAATAAACCCCTAGCGGTGGATGTGGCATGTTTTTCTCTAATCATGAAAAGAGATCTCAGCCAAGTGTTGGCGAGGTACTGTTTTTGTGCATTATAATGGACCCTGAGGGAGAGATCTGAAATAACTATGAATATGAAACTCAATTTTAAAGTTATACCTAGTATGATATAAAATTTAGTATTAGAATCTTCTTAAAATGAAAAAAAAAAAATCACATTGCACTCTGTAAACATCCATTTTTCTTCTCCAGAAATGTTCTACTGACTAATCGCTTTTAGCTTTTTCAAGAAACACTCTATTATTGACGCTGAAAGGGATCAGGTCACGCCACCCCAAAATATGCCACTTTGGCATAAGAAAGATTTTGAGCTGAATGCATCTGAGTTCCTGAAATCCTTTATCTGCCTAAAAGCAGAGTCCCCCACAAAGCACTCACTTGTCATAAATCCCTCCCCAGGCAGCTCCAACCTTCTCTTCTGGCACTACATCCAGACATTGTCACCAACTATATACCTCCCATCTACTTTCCAAAACCTCATTTGCTTTTCTATGAGGGCCTTTTTCCCCCTCCCTTCTCCACAAGGTTAGGTGTCTAGACCCCACCTCTGCCCTCCCTTCGAGAGTTACTCATCACTGGGTCCTCCCATGTGAACGATCGATGCACATGTTAATGAACTTCTGTTTGTTTTTCTCTTGTTCATCTGTCTTTTGGCAGTCCAATTTACAGGGTTTGGCTGGAGAACCTAGAAGGGTAGATGGAAAAATAAATTTTTCCTTCCCTACAACACTTTGACATCTGATTTTACATATATTTCCTAGCTTTAAAAAGCTGTCAATTAAAAAAAAAAATCCTATAGAAAACATAAGCATCTGAAAGAGTCAAAGTTTTAAAACCCTTTGAGACTCTGGGTCTAATTTCTTCAACTTTTCAAACTAAATATTAAAAAAAGTAAAAACTATACCGAAGTGCTTATTATTTTAGGGAAAACTGCTATGAAGAAAGTACATGCAGTTAGAGTAAAATCAGTCTCCACACCATGAAAATTCTTACCAAATACATTTTTCATAAATATATTTGAATCCACTTTGCCAATATTATTTCATCTTTTATCATTATTTCATTATTTATCTTTTAAATTTGAAAAATTGTATGGTGGCAAAATAACTTCAAATTAAATCTTCCTATTTAAAAAACTAACAGAGCACTACACTTTATAATGGAGAAGACTGGAAATAATACCGTATTGTTATTAATAATGGCAGATTAAATAAAGAAAATAAAAGTGATGTAGTAGTTCTAAATACAGTACTACCAGAAGTTAATAAAGCATGTAACAGAGAACTTGATAAATATGGTCACGTAGGCAAACACTGGGAAATATCTACTCAATTAGAAGAGAATTAGCTTTAGAAGCATCAGAGATGCAGTATTTCTGCCATATGAATAAAAGCACATAAAAGACACAAAACGAAATATTCGTATTACTTTTAGCATGTTAAAAACAATCACATCCAAAAAAGTAAACAGATAAAAAATGTCATAGATGACATAAGAAAATAGTGTGTGCATATATATTTTGCATATATATATATATAAATCTACAGTATTTACCACTGTTGACATATAGATTTTGGAACAGCTCAGGCGCTGCTATCATGAACTAAATTGTACAGCTTGGCTTATCTTATTACAAGTCACAGAATCATGGTTTAAAAATTAGAATTAATATCCTCAGCTACATTTTTATATATATTTATTTCTAAGTTTCACATGATCTGAATCAAGAGCCCAGTGATATCAGGATTTCGTCTGAGCTTCGGTGTATTGCTTACTGCTAATACACCATATTTGTTTTGCCATTTAATAATGTCATTACCAAGTTGATTAAAATTACATTAGACTCATTATATACATAAAAAATATTATCACATTCACTAGCTAAACAAATGTTACTCTCGTTTTAAAAGACATACTTCTGTACCTTGAAAGCTTAAAGCCCCAGCCTGCAACAAGAAGAGCCCTCAGTGTTAGGTTTTCTACTCTATTATTCAAACATGAGCAAAGTAATGTTGAAAATAAGCTCTCCAATTAAACACAAAGTCATACTTTCTTGGTGTGCTCCAAACTTTGTCAATGTTTTGGTAATTGTAGTGTAATAGAAAATTATAAAAGACATTGCTAATTTGTTTTTAACATGAACTTGAATTTTTGTCACCGAAAAAGAAAAAAAAGATTTTTGGAAGTATGAAAGTTGCACTATTAAAAAGACCAAAATCTTAGATTCCCGTTATTAATTAGGATCATTTCCTACAATTTTACACAATAATTGAATGGCCTAAGCACAGCAATATCTATTGGCTACATTCTTTAAAAAGACAGTGCCAGAGATCATGTAAATGACTGCCCAGCCCTTTGTAGTGAGGCCCTGCAGGAATCTGAGGGGCTGACTTAGAAGTAACCATATTGCTAATCCTGCTTTCAAAGGAACCTGCAAGGAATAGTGACTGGCAGCCTCTCCTGCTGGCATCCACAGGACGCTGTGCTGCCACGCTTCCTTTGCATCTGGCAAGGACCATTCTGCTCTGAGCTTTGCGAGTCAGACCAGAACTCAGGGCAGAGGCACTTACACTGACCTCAGTGCTCACGGATACACTGACAGCTGCACCTTTGGCCATAAACTTATTTTAACTGCCTGGATTTTTAAGCACCATTAAGTGGTTAGCCATTCTCTCCAATGTCTTTAATTTTCAGATTGAAAGAAAATGACAGCAATTGAATGAGAAAGATGAGCATTCTATGAAATTTGAATTACTCAACTCAGGGCAAACTGTGAAGTCAATTTAGGATCTAGGTTAAAAATACAATGGGGAAAAAAACTTGACTAAAACACCAGTTAAAGAAAAGAATAATAAATTATTCCATGGATCTAAATTAAAAGTAGTTTTTAAAAATGTTTCTTTAGTTTTGTGTTCAAATGTGTATGCATAGATGCCTACAATATCTATTAGAAGACACATACACTACATATAGCCTTAAAAATATCTACTCTACATGACAGTTTTTCAGTACTTTGTAACATTACTCAAAATAGAACGGGCTAATAGAGTAAAAATGTTCAGGTTTTTGGAGAAAGCTATAAATGAAACTGAGTAATGAATTATTATTGTGCGTGCATTCCTAAATGCTATTGCTATGTTTCCATGGTAAATTCTTTTTAACAGGTTCAGTGACGATGCAATTTAAAATGCTCATCTTAAGCAGCATCTTTATGGGATGAAAACACTTCCATCTACTCTTATTAGTAACATACATTAGAATTGCGCCAGTTGTTTACAATGGTACAAAATACTGCTTTGGCAATTATAAACATAGCAATGTAGGTTTCGTATGGTTTCTATTCTCTTGTCTTCAGCAAGTGTAGATAAATTCTCACAGCAATACTGATTCTTGAATAGAAAGTCCATCCCGGTTTCTGTAGTGATACATGGGAGCCGAGGGCCCTGAATATTGATACCCAGATGAACTGGCATCTTCTAAAGCTGGGGAAGTTCTATACCGCACGGGACTATCCACTGAAACTGCGGGGAGGTTATGGTCCTGAAAGGGAACATGTTGAAAGGCAGGATATTTTGGTAAATTGCTTAAGTGGCCGCGGTTAGCATCTCGAGTCCACAAGTGTTCGTGTGTCTCAGGTCTGTATATGTAGCCGACTTCGGACCACTTCCTGTTATCTGGCAAATAATCCACTGGAGGAATGATAAATTTTCCATTCTTTGGTGCCCCTGAATTGCCTGAATATCCCCCAGCATCAATTTCGACGGGAAGAACTTCTATTCGACTAGATGGTAGTACAAGAGGAGCTGGGCGGCTGTGAGATTTCTCTGGAGAAACATTGATTGAAAGATTAGAACCATGAGGCCTCCTGGAAGGATTCATTTGGATCCCATAGCTAAGCTGTGGAGACATGAGGCTGCTGTTAGCAGGAGGGATGCGTTTTGGAGAACTCCCATGATAGATGGGGGGATTGCTATACGACGGCGGGGGTACCATCCCACGATCTTCCCCATCTAGCTGAGATGGATATTTTGCGTAACTTGGAGGCTGCGCTTTAAAAGTAAACTTGTTTGACACTTTTGATGGACTAGGACTTGGCTCAGCATGCTTTCTTGGACTATGCGTGTAAACAATATTCCTTGGACTTTGAGAGTAAGCCCTTTCTAGTGCCTCTTCAACAGAAGTGCCATTTCCATTTTCAGGTACATTGTCATACTGGGATGCATTAGAACCCCGTTTCCCTTCATCGGCGTCCCAGACCTTCATCTTCTGCCTTGCATTCGGTATCCGAAGATCAGCAGAACTTGGGATGGTGACTGTAAGTGTGGGGTGTGATCCACTTTTGCCTTCAGTGGCATATTTTGCAGTTTTTCCAATAGCTGAAACATCTGACGGTTTATTCCATTTGGGTGCAAATTCCTTCCTGGTATCTGAAGTAGCATTGCTATTTTGATTAGCAGCTGCGTGATCATATTGCCTGGCATTGTCTTGTGAACCTGATGGATGTTTTCTTTGAAAATCTGCCTCGTCTTTTAGCTTTCTGCTCTCCTCATCCACCGATTTTGGTCGTGGCTGCCGTACTCTTTCCGGTGTACCAAGTCTACTCTGATGGTGAGGCGAACGCTCATGTTTTCTGTGAGGTGATGAGCTGCTCTCTCGTCTGTTGTTCTTATGGGGACTTGACCTGCCAACACTTTGTCCATTGCTCAGGTGAGTAATGCCAGCAGACTGAGATTCAGGTGGAAGCTGTCCCAAAGGTTTCTTTGGAAATTCATCTTCTTTACCTAAAGGAAGAAATAAATTCATAAGCAACATAAATACATGAGTAAATAGTATCAAATCTAAGAGCCACATGGTGCGTAACTGCTTACTTTTCACATGTGCGCTCATGTACATGCACTGCACATACACACACACCACAGCATTTCACTGGCTTAAGAGAACCACTTTTTAGAGAGATTGATAGTAAAACATACCAAAAATCAAAAGCTTATTAGGCAATGTGCAGGTGGGAATATTTATAATCTTATGAGTAAGGTTCATACGATAGTATAACATGATTCTTATATTTTGTTAAGATATGTTGTTCCATGCTCTTTTATGAATAAAAGGCAGATACTTTTATTCCTAAAACAATTCTGCAGCTCAGTAGTTCAATGTCTTACCATTATATCATCTTCACTTTAGCTTACTTCAACGAAAATGGTTTTGAAATCTCAGTTAAACTTTTCTTATCAACTAGAAGCAAGTCTGCCAAATTTAAAAGTCAACTGATGACCAATTGTGATCTAAAGTTGTCCCCGAATACTAGCAATATTTATACCAGGCAAAGTAGACTTTAAAACAAAGGCTATAACAAGAGGCAAGGAAGTACCCAGTAATCCCACTTCCAGGTACTTATCTGAAGAAACCCAAAACACGACTTTTGAAAGGACATGTGAATCCATATGCTCTTTGCAGCACTATTTACCATAGCCAAGATATGGAAGGAACCTGGATGTCCAACAGTGGATGAATGGATGAAGAAGAGGTGGCACATATATCCAATGGACCATTACTCAGTCATAAAAAAGAATGAAATGTTGCCATCTGCAGCAACATGGATGAACCTAGAGGGTCTTGTGCTGAGCGGAGTAAGTCAAACAGAGGAAGAAAAATGCCATATGATTCCACTTATATGTGGAATCTAAAGAACAAAATAAAGGAACAAACAAAAGAGAAACTGACTCATAAATACGGAGAACAAACTAATGGTTGCCAGATGGGAGGGAGATGGGGAGTGAAAGAAAAAGGGGAAGGGATTAGAAAGTACAAATAGGCAGTTACAAAACAGTCATAGGATGTAAAGTATAGCATAAGAAATACAGTCAATAATATTGTAATAACTATCTTTGGTGTCAGATGGGTACTAGATTTATTGGGGTGACCACTTCCTAAGTTATATAAATGTCTCATCAATATGTTGTATACCTGAAATTAGTAATATTGTATGGCAACTGTAATTGAAAAGTAAAAATTATTTAGAAATTTTTAAAAATTAAATTAAATTTTTAAAAAGTTGTTCCCAAAAAACTTATCATTAAGTACCTTCCACAGTTTAACTTTGTGATAAAAGGAAATAGTATTCTCTATTTTAAAGTTAACGTTCTTAAGATGATCCCACTTTAAAGCAAAAGAAAGAAAAAAATAAAAAATAAGAGAATATCATATTGGATACTTTTAGTTTTATATTTTAAATAACTAAATTCAGAAATTTAATGAAGAATTAAAAGAAGTTTGCCATTTAGTAAACAGTATTTAAAAATGATTTATTACAGTAAGGATATCCAATAAATATCATCTTGAAAAGAAAACAGACTTCACTTATAAAAATTTCATGATTTAGCCTACATCTTTTTCATGAGTTATTATAAAATAATATGTTCTCACTTAAAAATAAGTTGCTGCTCTCTTCAAACATTCACCTGTTCATCCATCTAATGAATATCTACTGAGTAAGCTCTCCTTCAATGTGCTAAGCAGTGAGTCCATTAGCAGCGAGCAGGCAGACGTGGCCTTTGTTTGCATGTAGCTCACTTCCTAGTGATGATAATTTTGTTATTTACCTTCATACGATTTTCTTTAAAATATTTTTTAAAATATTCAATGAGCTTTTCTTTGGGACTAGAGGGAGCAAAGAATAATGATGAAACAATATCCTTTAAATAGTTAAGGGACTAGTATCAGAATTATTAAACTAAAAATAACATTTGTGCTCTTCTAATTCAGTGATTTTTAAACTTTTTAGAAGCAGACTTTTTTCAAACTAAATTTCATATGAAATCCCAGTAGATAAAGAATATATAAACAAAGCTGCTCTAGCTAAAGTGGAGGGGCTCAGTCACCCCCTTTCCCACTTCCCACAACTGGGCAGCTTCTCAGAACCCTAGGGTTCCAGAGAGATCCAGTCCTGCCCGCATTTTATAGGTGAAAAGGCAGAGGCTCAGAGAAGCCAAGTGATGTTTACTGGCAGAAACAGAATGAGAACCAAGACCCAGTATTTTCACTCCCAGTTCACCATTTTCTTCCACTCTGCCATGTTCATTAAACTCCAGAGAAACTTGTGATGGTTTTAAACTAAATTTAACTCTTTGATAATATGGTGCAAGCTCTTTATTTTCTACATTTGAGAGCACACGAAGCATTAGAGTTGGCGATTACAGTTTGTTCCGCTCATTCATTCATTCTACAAATACATACCACCAGGCAACTACCGTGTACTGGGCGCTGTTCCGGGTGCTGGCAACCCACGCACGGAACGGAAGGGCGAAGTCCCGTCCTCCTGGAGCTTACGTGCTACCTGTGCAGCTGTGACGGCAGCGCCAGGGCAGGGCAGTCACAGGGATTTGGAGTGGGGCAGGACAGAGCAGGGGAGAGTTCCAGCAGGAACAAAGGTGCTCCGCGTCAAGAGTAGGGGACGGGCGGAGGGCAGGGGAACAGAAGAGCGACGGCACGCCAGGCCTAGACGGCCACAGTGAGGACTCTGGGTGTTTTTTCTGAATTAACTGCAAACTACTGAAGGTTTTTCAGCAGGAGCGTTCACTTTGAATGTGTAATAATTAGCCTTAGACTGTGTAATAATTAATGAAGAAATAATAGCTAATACTCATTAAGCCCTTACCATATGTCAGCACTGCTCAAAAAGCTATAAATACAATGTCAGCAATAGGCATGTAAGATACTTCACTACTACTATTCTTTTTATAGATGAGAAAATGAGGCAGGATGAACGAGTCAGCGGCAGAGAATTCAAGCCCAGAGTTGATTCCAGCGCCTTCGCTCTTTGCTCCTACCCTATGGTGTGGTGGAAGCAGAGGGAAGAGGCTGCTTCTCGGATATGGTTTAAGGCGAAGTCCAGACACAGCTCGTGGGTTAGATGTAACGTGTGAGGGACGAGCAGAGTAGAGGATGGCTCGTGGTTTAAAGACAGGAACAGACAGCTGCTATTCAGTAACAGCTGGAATAACCAACACTGTTCTGTGTCTGTTCATAATAGAGACATGATAACTCAAACTTTAAAATTCTTGTCGTTTAGAAAAGTTTTCTGTGTTTATGAATGCTGTGAAATTATCTGAAGCATTCTAGTTCAGCTTCTGACCAATCTCACAGGAAATATCTGGAATTGCAGTAAGAGACTTGGCACAAATGCAGCCCAAGTCAAGAATATTCGCAAGTAGTCATTTAGTCTGTGGGGTTGATAACTAACGATAAAAATAAAATTAAAATCTATCTAGTGTTCCCCAAAAGTTCTTATCAGCTCTACAAATAGTGATCCATTTAGTTCCAGATAAATATATGAATTATTTCTACCACGTAAGCAAATGACCCCGACAAACACAAATTATCAAGAAGATACAAAGATCTGCGTAATAGAAAAACTGAATTTATGACTTTTCTTTTAGTCTCCATTCTAACAATATTCCAAGGGCTCACGACACAGTCATCTGAATGGCTAATTCAATGGCTGGTTGATATTCCATATAATATCAGCCAATCATCAAAACACCCTTTTCAGGTTGGTGACTAGGAACCTGATGGAAAACACAACCATGAAAAAGAAAAGGAAAACAGCGGCACCAGAGAGCGGTCAGGTCAGGCCTGCAGGACGTGCTGCTCCAGGGGCAAAGTCGGATTCATGTGGAGATTCCCGTGCTGAGCCCTCTGAGCTGCCCCACGTCTCCAGCACTCGGTGGCTTTGAGCGACCTGAAGAGCCACCAGCATTCCAGTTTATAGGAAATAATTTTAAATATCTTAAATTCTCCTAGCAGCATTATCAATAAGAAGGGACTGCTGTGTGGCTTGCATGTGCACCCCCTGGAACATCGGTCTGTCAGTGAAAGCTTCTCTTGGCCAGACTGCAGACACTCAGAGCCTGTTTTCAATGTTTTAATCCATAAAAATTCACAACTCATGAAACCAAATTCACTCGAAATCAGGTTTTTCAAAGGTAAGCCACCTGCCGTAGACTGACCGTCTATGTCCTGCTCTCCCCGCCCCCAATGCAAACCTAGTGTAACAGTATGTGGAGACGGGGCTTTGGAAGGTAATTAGGCCATGAGGGTAGAGGCCTCCTGGTGGCATCGTGCACCACCGCCCTCTGCAGGGTGGAGGAATGGATGGGGCCATAAAAGAGAAGTGAGATTGGCCCAGTTTTCACCTCCCTGCTGCAAAGGCTTCTAGAAAAGTAGCCCTCTGCTGCACCACAGGACTGCAGCCCAGGGCTCCTCCGAGCTGTGGTCGGCTGTGGAGTGAGGAGTGGCCCAAGACAGAGTATAATAGGGTTTAATAAGGAACCGGTGAGGTGGAAGAGATTAAAAAATAAAGTGGGGGTGGAAGGAAGGAAGTGGGAGGAAAGAGGACTAAGGGAGAAAACTGAACATCTTTGGGGAAAAATAATGCCATTTTACACACTGTTCTTATATTCCAATATCCGTAGATTTTTCCTTCTGAAATCCTTTAGGTATATAAAGGCACATATTAGTAAAAACCAGCAGGACACATAGTAAAATGTAGGATTATGGCTCCAAAGCATGTATTTCTCAGGAGAAGGAATAAAAAACTGAGAAGGAAGTAATGAGGAGACGGAGGTGGTAATTTCATGCATAAAACAAAATGGAAAGGTCTGTATCATACATATGTGGGCTATTTAATTTTTCAATATAAAGGGTGAGAAAAGTATTCACCTTATACTTAACACTACTTTATATGCAAGTCAATACAGAAATTTCTCTAAGGAAGAGACAT